AGCAATGTTGTCAGTCAACCAAAGATATTTTGGGTTGTACATTTTTCTAAAATCTGTTCATTCAGGGTGAGAAGCTTAAAGGTTTGTGAGCTCCTGGATTGGAGAGTACACTAAAACACATGCCTATCAATTGTTTTGTCTAACGATTGTCTAATAAATCCGTGAGAATAAACCTTATTCACTCGTCTAATGCGTCTGACTCATATCTTTATCAGCTTTGCTCATTTCATCATCAAATCAGGTCTACAGTCAACAACGTTCCACATCCTGTTATTCACACTTTCTGACTTTTAATGTTTCTGCTTCGTGTGTGTGTGTGTGTGTGTGTGTGTGTGTGTGTGTGTGTGTGTGTGNATACAGTATTATATTTTAAAGAAATTGACCAATTTAATAAACTTGGTTTTGTGGAGCCAGTTTGGTTCTGTAAATTTAACACGTTGTAAGAGAGCGTGGAAAAGTTTTACTTTTACTTCTACTTTCCCAATTTTTGTGAACAGTTTTATGACTTTTACTTTAGTAGTTTTCTTATCAGTGACATTTATCTTTACCAAAGTCATTTTCTGTTAAGGTAATTTTACTTTTACTTAGTCATTTTTTTCTAGTACTTTACAGACCTCTGGGATCCAGGGACCAAGGAGGAAGTAAGAACAGATGAGTTTGATTTCAGGGTGGAGCGTGGATGGAGGGGCACACAGCAGGTGAGCATAAAATCCAGGATCAGATGAGCCTAGTCCTACTAGACCTGACTCCACTTTACATATATTAGGGAGGCGGAGGCCACATCAAGTGCAGTAAAGCTACACCAGTCTGGTAGGTGGAAAAGACTGTCTGACTCAGAGCACACTAGAATCTGGGACAGGGCAGTTGCTGCTGTTCCAGTAACTGCAGGACCTGGAGACAGAGACTGAAGGCAGGTCTGCCTGGAGTAACCTCTCTGTGGTGGACATGTCTCCAACAGGGATGCACCAATACCAATTTTTTTTTAAACCGAGTATGAGTACAAGTACTTACATTTAAGTTCTTGCCGATAACAAGTACTGATAAATATCAATAAAATCCTTACAATTAACTTAAATTGTTTATGTTCATTAGACATTTAAACATAAATAAATAGTGAATCTTACAAGTAGTATACAACTGCTATTTTACTGACGGAACAAAATGTTACTTACATTTTAAGTTAACACTGAATCTTTTTAGTCAACGTGGGGGATCACATTTTAGTAAACCCCTACTTCAACATGCTGCCACATGGAGTGGTGCAGTTCTAGAAAAGGATTTTCAAACCATCAATTCTGTTTTTATTTATATTTTACACAACATCCCAACATCTTGAAATTGGGGTTGTACCAGAACATAGATACCGGCGAACGTATGACTAAACCTCTCTGTGCATGTATGACTGATGTTTTTTTTTTTTGAAACCTTTATTTATAACAGAGACAGTGCATATTAATAACATTTCTGTAAATATGCCAGAATTAGCCAGAAGGCTATTTTTCACCTGCAGTCCTCAGACAGATGGTAAAAGTCACCCTAAAATATTAAATGTAAAAGTATTAAATGTAAAACTACATAATTATAAAGTAACAAATGCAATACACTTTAAAATACTTAATATATTATAAGCTAAAATGCATATAAAAACACATAAACCAACTAGTAAAAGAAATGTCAAGTAAACAATAAACCCACACATGAGACAAGCTGACAACTGAGGGAAGCAAGAGCTAGTCTAATTGTAGCCTAATGTTAACAGTTCTGATTATCAATAAGCCATTTCTTTAACAATATTTTAAATGTGTTATAACTTGAGTTTCTGATGATCACAGGAACAAGATTCCATTGGTTGACAGCTCATACAAAAAAGATGGTTTTACTAAAAGCACTTTTCCTAAGAGGAATATCACAGTCTCCCCGAACTGCACCTCTGGTTCTGACATTATTAGATGTTCGGATTTTCACAAACTGTTGAAGTGGAGGGGATGATAGACCATGAATAACTCTGTAGATAAGACATAAGTTTGAATATTTAACAATAATTTCCCAACTGAGTAAACCATGTTTTTGTTGCATTGGACAACGATGAACCATGCTTGTTCTCTTATCCAGAGTTTTTACAGTGCGTTTATAGAGTGATTGCAGTGATTTTAAAGTTGTAGCATTAGCTTGAGACCAAATGGGTAAACAGTAATTGATGTGGGACAGAATCAAACTGTGCATGTACATTTTAGCTGCCTGTGTGGACATCTGATAATGAATACGTCTGAAGTTACTGAGGTTAAATTTAATATGATTACAGACCCTTTTGATATGTGCTTTAAATAACAAATTTGAATTAATTACCACTCCCAGATACTTGCATTCGGATACTACCTCTCTCCTGATACAAAAACATCTGGCTCAACACTGAAATTAGTGTTGGATTTTGTAAAAACATCGCCACAGTTTTAGAAGTGTTCAACTGCAGGCAGGAGTGTTTCAGCCAAGCTGTGATAATAACCATGGAGTTAGTGAGCTTCTCAACCACCTGGGAGAGATTACTGCCATGAACATAAACTACGGTGTC